TCATACTCATGCTTTTCTGATTTTTACCTTTGCTTTATCAGGCAAACGCAAAAGCATACAACTTTGCATTACGTACGGTGCGTTTGGATGAGGAGGAAATTTAATTTGGATGGTGAAGTTTGGGGGCTTTTCTTTGGGTTGCAACTTGCAACTTGCGATTGACAAAGGTATTAGGATTCCAACTTGCAATTCAAAACTTTTAGATGACTTGTTGGCTGTTCCTAAGACTCGGATGGTTTGTTTAAATCACTCTGGGTAGTTTGCTTTTATTCACCCCAAAAAAAAAAAGACACTAATGAGGAGATTGGAATCCTCGCAAAACTGTGATTAAAATCTGTGAATCACTTGAATTCCCATTGACCATGTATGAACTTGATTTATTATTTTCTTATATGCAATTTTCTAAATGATTTGATTTTCATATCGCACTGCTAATTCATAGAGGCAATTATTGAAGGAAATGAACACGAGTGTTTGTGGTTGAGATAATAGATGTGAATTCCAGGGAGCCATTTGTGAAGGAAAGAGATGTGCAATATTAGGCAGGTAGGGTTTCCGTGAAAGAAGTTGTTCTCACAAATTGCCAAATGAATTTAGTTTCCAGGGTCCACCTTATCATCAACGCACAGAGGATAAAGCAAAGGTAAAAATCAGAAAAGCATGAGTATGATGAACTGATGAGTGGATATCAGTAGGCCATAACTACGCTGGATTGTTCTTGGCCTTTTATAAAGCAATTAATTTCCACTTGAATCACATATGATAATCTCTTTAAAATAAGTTTTCAAAGCAGATTTTTTCAATAAATAAGTGATTCTTGTTGATTTCTTAGCTGTAATTCACTTTTGAAACTGCAAAAGCAGCTGTTGCATTGGCCCAGGCACTACCGCTACTCCCTGCATTGGCCCCAGCTCTGACCTACTTCAAAACTGACTGTTGGATAGATAGTATAGCCGGGCGGCTATACTTGGTTTTTTCTTATTTTTTTTAAAAATAGTATAGCCGATCGGCTATACTTACTTAAACACATGGCCGCCTATTCGATAGCAGGGTTCTCTCTTTTTAAAATAAAAATAAAAATAGTATAGCCAACCGGCTATACTCCATTTTTTTTTTTTTTTTTTAAATATAAAAAATAGGGTTTCATTAATGTTTCTCTCCATTTTTAAATTTTTTAAAAAATAGTATAGCCGAGCGGCCATACACTTCCTCCGAAGAGAAAGCCCTTCAAGAAATCCTCAAAAGCACGTGGCTGAACCAAGGCCAAAGAGGGAGCTTGGAAACAGCTTTCAACCAGCAATAGACGCGCCTCGGTTAGAACCTCATAAGCTGCATCATTGCCCCAAGCTCAAAGATACTAAAAATATTGGCTTCTGCTCGCTTTTATCCAGCTACAGCAACTCAGCCTTTTCCGCTCTGTCGATGTGAGACAACAACTTCTTCTTTCACACATATAATGATCACATGTTTGGCTAATAATTGTAAATGCCGATGTGTAAAATCTAGAAGATGAATGTTGTTTCTTGTCTTAGCTTGAAATTGCATTCTTGTCTTACAATTATTAGCCAAACATGTGATTGTATTCTCATATAAGAGAAGCAAAGGCTGCTTGCAATTTGGGAAAAAGGTATGGCAAGCTGGGTATCTGTACTAACTATTTGTCGTTCCAAATTTGCTTAACAAGTTCATCACACTTATGCTATAATAACACAAGTGAAAACAATATTTTCTTCGTGTTCACTCTTTGTCATACAAATTCTTCATTTATTTAATAAACTTGAACCCATCAGCACCGATATTAATGCCGAACAAATCCGATTAGCACTTTTCATCACACAATGATACAATACAAGTTTCAAAGAGTGGCTTATTTATCAGTCCATCATTTAAATCCTCCTAAGCGCTTGACATTAGCTCACGTAATAAGGGTGAGTGAGAAAATGAGTTAAGATTATGATATGTAAATAGTTTGCTACTTTCTCATTGTAGCACAAGAATTTAAGGTGATATTTGCTATCGTTTTAGCAAGAAGCAACTGCAAAACAAAGCCCCGAGTCAAATTGACGCCATAACGATCTATAACTTGAAAGCGTACACAGCCACTGGCGGAAGAGACTGAATCCAAACTTTTTGGATGTTGAGAGTGACCAATGGAAAGAGCAAAGTTTGCCTCCAAAACCCAGGTTGGAAGGAAGGAAATAAACTTGACAACCAAATGTTCAATATCTTGGGACTATATTTATAGGGCCTTACTCCGAAGAGAAAGCCCTTCCAGAAATTCACAAGGGCACATGGCTGAACCAAGGCCCAAGAGGGGGTTTGGAAATAGTTTTCAACCAGCAATAGACGCGCCTCGGTTAGAACCTCATAAGCTGCATCATTGCCCCAAGCTCAAAGATACTAAAAATATTGGCTTCTGCTCGCTTTTATCCAGCTACAGCAACTCAGCCTTTTCCGCTCTGTCGATGTGAGACAACAACTTCTTCTTTCACACATATAATGATCACATGTTTGGCTAATAATTGTAAATGCCGATGTGTAAAATCTAGAAGATGAATGTTGTTTCTTGTCTTAGCTTGAAATTGCATTCTTGTCTTACAATTATTAGCCAAACATGTGATTGTATTCTCATATAAGAGAAGCAAAGGCTGCTTGCAATTTGGGAAAAAGGTATGGCAAGCTGGGTATCTGTACTAACTATTTGTCGTTCCAAATTTGCTTAACAAGTTCATCACACTTATGCTATAATAACACAAGTGAAAACAATATTTTCTTCGTGTTCACTCTTTGTCATACAAATTCTTCATTTATTTAATAAACTTGAACCCATCAGCACCGATATTAATGCCGAACAAATCCGATTAGCACTTTTCATCACACAATGATACAATACAAGTTTCAAAGAGTGGCTTATTTATCAGTCCATCATTTAAATCCTCCTAAGCGCTTGACATTAGCTCACGTAATAAGGGTGAGTGAGAAAATGAGTTAAGATTATGATATGTAAATAGTTTGCTACTTTCTCATTGTAGCACAAGAATTTAAGGCGATATTTGCTATTGTTTTAGCAAGAAGCAACTGCAAAACAAAGCCCCGAGTCACACTGACGCCATAACGATCTATAACTTGAAAGCGTACACAGCCACTGGCGGAAGAGACTGAATCCAAACTTTTTGGATGTTGAGAGTGACCAATGGAAAGAGCAAAGTTTGCCTCCAAAACCCAGGTTGGAAGGAAGGAAATAAACTTGACAACCAAATGTTCAATATCTTGGGACTATATTTATAGGGCCTTACTCCGAAGAGAAAGCCCTTCCAGAAATTCTCAAGGGCACATGGCTGAACCAAGGCCCAAGAGGGGGTTTGGAAATAGTTTTCAACCAGCAATAGACGCGCCTCGGTTAGAACCTCATAAGCTGCGTCATTGCCCCAAGCTCAAAGATACTAAAAATATTGGCTTCTGCTCGCTTTTATCCAGCTACAGCAACTCAGCCTTTTCCGCTCTGTCGATGTGAGACAACAACTTCTTCTTTCACACATATAATGATCACATGTTTGGCTAATAATTGTAAATGCCGATGTGTAAAATCTAGAAGATGAATGTTGTTTCTTGTCTTAGCTTGAAATTGCATTCTTGTCTTACAATTATTAGCCAAACATGTGATTGTATTCTCATATAAGAGAAGCAAAGGCTGCTTGCAATTTGGGAAAAAGGTATGGCAAGCTGGGTATCTGTACTAACTATTTGTCGTTCCAAATTTGCTTAACAAGTTCATCACACTTATGCTATAATAACACAAGTGAAAACAATATTTTCTTCGTGTTCACTCTTTGTCATACAAATTCTTCATTTATTTAATAAACTTGAACCCATCAGCACCGATATTAATGCCGAACAAATCCGATTAGCACTTTTCATCACACAATGATACAATACAAGTTTCAAAGAGTGGCTTATTTATCAGTCCATCATTTAAATCCTCCTAAGCGCTTGACATTAGCTCACGTAATAAGGGTGAGTGAGAAAATGAGTTAAGATTATGATATGTAAATAGTTTGCTACTTTCTCATTGTAGCACAAGAATTTAAGGGATAACACAAGGGTGAAAGCATGTTGAACATATGTAGTGGCAAAAACTGGAAACATATTGAGTTTCTGGAGAGAGTTTCAGAAAAGCCAAGGGAGAGAGCAAGAGAGTTCTCTAAGTGTATCAAGGTGTTGAGCAAGGGTGTGAGAGAAACAGATTGTGAGGGTAGTGTTCTAAGGGGGTTTCCTAGCCAGATAATCAGGGAGTGAGATGGCAGAGGAACCGCATTTTTTCTTATCGCATTATCGCAGACAAATGATGTAATAAGTGGTAGACATTAACAGACAAATCAAATGATAAACTAATAGGTCACAGGATGAATGAAAAGTATAAAGATGTGTTGCTAACTTGCTGCTAGCTATTTTAAGGCTACTCTTCCTTAAATGGTTTAATTTTCTCTATTTCCTTTAACTATATAAATATACTAACCTTGATAATTACAGCATCAGCCTTTGGAACATAATCAAACATGTCACCTCCAACATTCTCAATGCGGTCATACTCCTGAGCAACAGACACAACATGAGGAAGATCAAAGTTGATGCCTCGAATCCAAGGGCATGCCTCAACCAACAAGCACAAAGCAGTCCCATCACCCGCGCCCACGTCTACTATTGTGTCAAGCCCTTTGAACACCTCTATACAACTTTCAATCACTGCAGGCACAGCCACCCTTGCATCACAAGCCATTGCTTCATTGAAAAGCTTGTTGTGATCAGGATTGGCTGCGCCAAAGCTCCATAGGTCCTCACCATGTACTTCCTCAAACACTGCCTGAAATGCTGGATTGGTTGGTTTATTTCTTTTGCTTTTGTTTTGCCCCATGTGAGAGCTGAGGGTATTGCAGAATTAGAAAGGAACAGGAGCAAAAAATATCAATGGAATTGTTAAAATGCTTGGATTTTCTAATTTGGAAAATAAATTTCCACCTTCCTTATGAAAAGGAAGAAATTATAATATGAACCTATACTGGCAGCCACTGCGACCAGACCTACATCCTTCCTTATCTCCTCTGTCGGATCTTGAAATTATAATATGAACCTGTGGGAGCAAAATTTCCTCCCACGGGAATATTCGCCTAAAGATTCCTTCATCTTCTTCGCACCTCTCTCTCCCTGCAAAACAGATCGGAGTTAAAGGACCACACCCGGGGGGTGTTGGCCAAAGGCCCTCCGATGCCTAAGTTAGGATGGGTATTTCAAGGAAAACCGGGTGGCCGGAGCCGTGTGTGGAGGCCGGAGCCTTGTGTGAGGGAGAGAAAGAATATTGTGGCTAGGGTTTGTGAAGGATAATTTCTGCAGAGTTTCAATAGGAATTCAGACGTACCTTAACCCTTGTGTGTAGCTAGGTATTTATAGGGGCCTCGGAGGCTAGGGTTTCAGATCCTAATTGGATTGCAGTTTCTTCTTTGAATATTTTGAGGTGGACTAGGACCCTCATGATACGGTAAAGGGGAGAAGGATCACATCTTAGAGCAGATGCGATTGTCTCAATCCCTTTGAACACCTCTAAACAACTTTCAATGACAGCAGGTACAACCACCCTTGCATTACAAACCATTCCTTCATTGATAAGCTTGCTGTGGTCAGGGTTGGCTGCGGCATAGCTCACCCTCTCCATGTACTGCCTGAAATGCTGGATTTGGGTTTTTTCTTTGAATATTTGGAGGTGGACTAGGACCCTCATGAGGCGGCGAAGGGGAGAAGGATCACATCTCAGAGCAGATGAGAGTTCTAAGCATGTCATGGGGCTTCCATGGCTTTCAATTCCATCTGCTATCCCGAGCTCAATGGCGCATTTCACCACCGCGATTTCAACAAACCCATTTCCAGACTCAAAATATTTATAAAGCGTATGGCCGCTCGGTTATCCTATTTTTAAAAAAAATTAGAAAAAAATGGAGAGAAATATTAATAAAACCGAGTCTGGCCGCGCGGCTATACTAGTTTTGAAAAAAAATCAAAAAAAGAAGAGAACCCTACTAGCGAATAGGCGGCCACGTGTCTAAATAAGTGTAGCCGCGCGGCTATACTAGTTTTGAAAAAAAATCAAAAAAAGAAGAGAACCCTACTAGCGAATAGGCGGCCACGTGTCTAAATAAGTGTAGCCGCGCGGCTATACTAGTTTTGAAAAAAAATCAAAAAAAGAAGAGAACCCTACTAGCGAATAGGCGGCCACGTGTCTAAATAAGTGTAGCCGCGCGGCTATACTAGTTTTGAAAAAAAATCAAAAAAAGAAGAGAACCCTACTAGCGAATAGGCGGCCACGTGTCTAAATAAGTGTAGCCGCGCGGCTATACTAGTTTTGAAAAAAAATCAAAAAAAGAAGAGAACCCTACTAGCGAATAGGCGGCCACGTGTCTAAATAAGTGTAGCCGCGCGGCTATACTAGTTTTGAAAAAATCAGAAAAATCGAATATAGCCGATCGGCTATACTATTTATCCAACAGTCAGTTTTGAAGTAGGTAAAGAGCTGGGGCCAATGCAAAAGTGAATTACAGCTAAGAAATCAACAAGAATCACTTATTTATTGAAAAAATCTGCTTTGAAAACTTATTTTCAAGAGATTATCATTAGATCCATCAGATGTGATTCGAGTGGAAATTAATTGCTTTATAAAAGGCCAAGAACAATCCAGCCTAGTTATGGGGCCTACTGATACTCTCAAAAAATCAATCCCAAGTTAGGTCATGTATCATTTTCATTGGGTGTAGATAAAGGTTGTATGTGTTGATTGAGTGTGAATCTCACATCGGAGAATTAAAGCCTTGTCAAATGGTATAAAAGATTTTGGGTCTCTCCATCCGTGGTCAATTGATTTCGGGTTGGATGCTCACATTCTAATACATATATTATTAGAAGAGTATCAAAACATGATTGGAAAGACAAAAATAAGAAACAAACAAAAATTATGCAAACAGCAAAAACACAATATTCTTATGATAATGCCACTAGCTACAGAGAGAATTTTGTATACAAGACAAAATCCTTCCAGCCAATTGGGCAAAAGATGTCTACCATTACATGAAAATACTCACATTACCTAAACTGGGCAAAAGATGTCTACCATTACATGTCTACTCATTTAAAATTGAGTGGCTGAATGTAACTATACTCACATTACCTAAATTGTTCAACACATGTTCTGCATGTAACCATACTCCAATCTCTTCCTGCAAATTATATATATTGCTACCTTAGAGCATACGACACACACACAGAAAGAGATGGAAGATAAACAAAGAGAGTTGGAAGGAGAAGAGAAAGAAGAAGAACATGCCAAACTGGAAATCTGGAAATATGTGTTCGGGTTTGTCGAAATCGCGGTGGTAAAATGTGCCATTGAGCTTGGAATAGCTGATGCAATTGAAAGCCATGGCAGCCCCATGACACTCCTAGAGCTATCATCTGCTCTAAGATGTGATCCTTCTCCCCTTTACCGCATCTTGAGGGTCCTAGTCCACCTCAAAATATTCAAAGAAAAACCAGCAACCCAATTAGGCCCCAAAGTTTATGCACAAACACCTTTGTCCAAACGGCTATTGAAATCCGGAGAAAACAGCATGGCTGCTTTCATTTTGCTAGAGAGTAGCCCGGTAATGCTGGCACCATGGCATGGCCTCAGTGCCCGAATCCAAGGTGTTAGCAACCCGGCATTCGAGGCAGTACATGGAGAGGATGTGTGGAGCTATGCCGCGGCAAATCCTAATCACAGCAAGCTCATCAATGAAGCAATGGCTTGTGATGCAAGGGTGGCTGTGCCTGCTGTGCTTGAAAGCTGTTTAGAGGTGTTCAAAGGGCTCGAGACAATTGTAGATGTGGGTGGGGGTGACGGGACTACTTTGCGCTTGTTGGTCGAGGCGTGCCCTTGGATTCGAGGCGTCAATTTTGATCTTCCTCATGTTGTGTCTGTTGCTCAAGAGTGTGATCGCATTGAGAATGTTGGGGGTGACATGTTTGATTGTGTTCCAAAGGCTGATGCTGCAATTATCATGGTAATTAGTATATATGTGATACTCTTACTTAATACTCAAGGAAACCTCACAATCCAAATATGAATATTGTTAGATCTAGGGAACATATCTTGTGACCTTTTTTTTTTTGGGTCGAAATCTCATTCATTGCAAAAGAAAAACCAGACAGAGTCCAGCAAAAGCAAAGCTACAAAAATGACAGAACAAAAAACTGTCACATGATTTGTCTTTTAACGTGTAGTTCTTACATTGATTGTTATTCAAATCATTAAGTTAATTGACGCATCAACTGTCCCATCACGTGGTTTGCTAATGTAACTAAAAAAAAGTGTGGTTCCTCTAGAATTACTCCCCTTATTGTATTGCTAGAAGTTTTCTTGCTCAACAAGACACATTATGATAAATGGTCCAATTTTATTTGGTTTTCGAGAATTGCAGTGGGTTCTTCATGACTGGGGAGACGATGAGTGCATCCGTATCCTTAAGAAGTGCAGGGAAGCTATTCCGGAGGACAAAGGGAAGGTGATAATAGTAGAAGCTGTAATTGAAGAAGACAGCGAAAAACTAGACAAGAAGCTAACAGATGTGAGATTGATGTTAGATATGGTGATGATGGCCCATACAAACACAGGCAAAGAAAGGACCATTAAGGAATGGGGATATGTTCTTGGTGAGGCTGGCTTTAGCCGACACACTATCACTCCCATTCATGTTGTCCAATCTGTTATCCAAGCTTTTCCTTAAATTTATCGAACAAAGTTAAATTAAGAATGTGGATTTGTATTCTCAAATTAGTGTTTTATTGTATTGCTCAGCTCTTAAAATTGCAATAAAATGTGTGCAATGTATTGTGGCTGCTATATCTTTGTATCTTTTCTTTTTTTGTTTTCTTTATTCCTTTTTTGTTTTCTTTATTCCTTTTTTGTTTTCTTTATTCTTTTTTGGAATTTCTGAAGGTTTGATTGATCTACACTGCCTGTTAATGAGACAGTACCTTGTTGAATTAAAAAAATCACAAAATGCTAAATGCAGGCAATTGTTTTGTTGTACTCAAGTAGTTCTAACTTGACTTGCTCTTAAGTTTGCCACCAGTTGCATAAGCCGCCAACGCCAAGGCAGGCAGTAACATCACAACATGTCAACATCAGAACAGCAAAAGAGACATGCCGTTTAGAATAACTCTTTCGTATACGGTATAGGTTCTGTGGGAACCGAATTAAATCACCCTAGGTCAAATAATTCCTTCCATTTGGGGATTATTTGACCTAATTGGGAGTTACTCAATTTAATTGGGAGTTACCCAATTAAATTGGCAATTACCTAATTAAAATGGGGATTGATTTGATTCCTACCCTAATTAGGGATTTGATTTAAATCAAATAAATCAAATCCCTAATTAATCAAATCTCACCTAATCAGGGAGGAATAATTCCTTTCCTTCTACGGAATTATTCCTCTAACACCCTAGCCTCCGAGGCCCCTATAAATACCTAGCTACACACAGGGGTTAAGGTACGTCTGAATTCCTACTGAAACTCTGCAGAAATTATCTTTCACAAACCCTAGCCACAATATTCTTTCTCTCCCTCACACAAGGCTCCGGCCTCCACACACGGCTCCGGCCACCCGGTTTTCCTTGAA